TTGCTTGCAATTATAAGACCAAAATTATAAGTAAAAATATAAAAAAGGATGTTTTTATATTATTAATGTTGTACATTATAAATTTTCCATGTGATTTGAACAACTCTTATAAATTATAAATATAACCAAACGAAGAGCATATATATATATATATATATATACATGGATAGGCTAAAAAATGTGTATGAAATTTGCACACAAATGTATTTTATAAGAAATTAATTGCTCCTTAGTATAAGCCTATAAAAAATATAAATTTAAAGAAAGAATTGTATCATATTATTAGTATCCTAATTTATTCGTGATAACTTTACCACTCTATTATACAGTCACTGCGAAAGTTTGTCATTTAGCGTAAATCGAAACCCAGCAAAATCACATTTTTTTGAGTTATTATCATTATACAAATATCTATTTATCATTGCACTGGACGACCTACCTTTTTTCGATGTGAGTAGTTTTCGAGTCTATCAGTAATTATTAAGTAATAACTCAATCACCCTAGTTTGGTTAAGGAGATTAATCATTGATAGTAGATTTTTCCCACAATCCCATGAGTAGGTATCACATTGCCATCGAATTTTCTCAGCCTCGCCTTTTAATGCAATATCATATCTCAGCTGGACTGGACAACAGTTTTGACCTTGCTTCACCATCTCGTCGTCACCCCAGAGTTATTCTATACCGGCTCGTGAGTACTCTGGCGACTTTACCACGACACATTACTCGCAAGCTGGCAAGCCTTCAGCTCGGATGAGATAACTTTGCAGGAGGCAAGACCAAAAAAAATGCAATGGTATCGTGAAGCATTTTAATCTAACTGTGGGAGAATCCAACTATCATTCCTTAACTCATCTCAAACAACACTGACTGAACAAGTTCCACTTCAAGAACTCCTAATAAGCTTGACACAAATATATCAAATATCAACAACAAATATTAGGATTTTAAAGTTCCGCCGATTTTAAGACGCCAAACTAGTAACATTTTTTATGGAAGTATGATATTGGCTGCTTGAAAAATACTACTCTAATATGTGTTAATTTGGCACGGTAAAAACTGTGTTGCCAGAGTCAAGAAGCGTTCGGCAATTCTTAAAATAGATATCGTTTTTCCCTCCGATTTACTATATCGACTACTTCTGGTATAGAAATTTAATATCTTAGAATTAGCAAGGTTCTATTCTCCCTTTAAGATTGGAGTCGCTTTTGCTGGACCAATTTTCGTTGAAACAATTTCCCAACGTCTTCTTGAAGCCTACATCGTTTATCAGAGCTAACTTCAGGCCATCACAGGAAGCTAAAGGAAAAACTTAACGAACTTATTTGACAAATTTTCCACTTCATTATGCAATCAGACAATCTTCACTAAGGGGGATTTTGTGTCTTAACTTTTCATTCCACTCATCGACGCTGTGCATCCACGACTGAGCTTAGTCCCCCAAATAAGCATATAGTCATTTAAGTCAGCATTAGGTGAGCTGTGTACTAAAAATAGAGTTTTTCTCATCCAAAACGCTATCTTTTCTAGACTGGAGTAGAATGCAATTTCGACATCCACGGGTCACAGAGCAGACATTGCTCAAGATAAATAAGTGTTTTTAAAGATAATTTATGATAATTTATGGTACTATTTAAATAAAAATAAGCAACATAATCTAATACAACCTAAATTATATCTTTACCCAATCAACAAGCAAACGATAGGAAAGTTGTTACTGGTGGGGCATTAGCGAGGTCTCAATAAAAGTGAGGGCCGAATTGTAAATTATTTTGGGAAGCAAGACTAAGTTAAATTCGAATACTTCCAATTCTTACTAAATGTTTCAAAAACTACTCATATCGAGCTTAGTAGCATCGTCTCCGCGGCACCTACTTCAGCTCATAAAGATAGGTTCAATCTGTCAACTTAAACAAGGCCTACTCATATCATAAAGCGAAGAACTACACTCCGTTTGTAGACAAATTTAACCTATCAAGACTGAGTAAGTTCACATTTGATTAATTTGTCTACCAAGTTAACTCGGTGGACGGTAAATCAAACTTAAGCTGATGTAGAATGGGATAGAAAACCGTGGCTAACCTGAGGAGAACATATAGTCAATTATGCAACACTGTGAAAAGTGTGTACATTGGAAAAAGTCCAACTTCAGATAAAAATGCATCTTTCACTTCTAAACTTGAACTTTCAGATCACAAAGAAACCTAAATGGCGAATAATGAGGCATGCTGGTTTGTAGTCATGAGAATAAAATATGTTCATCTTTTCTTGTTTTAAACAAAAGAAACTTGGGAACTTTATGGTTTTAGATCCAAGTGGCTGCTTAAAATCCCGCCAGGGTTAGGATTGCCAGTAGATATTGGTATGCTGATGGGCAATTTCTCTAGACGACCTCCTTATTGTCTTCTTTTCTGTTGTCCTGCCTTCACCATTCGTCAAGTCGGCTAATTCGGAGGCAATACGAGAGCCATCCGAGCCCATTTCCCAGGACTCGTCTTTAATTGGAGCACAGACTCTAGCCTATCCATACGGAGCCTGTGGCCCCCACGGGACCTGCGTACGCACCGCTTCAACTGGTGCAATCTGGGCTGCCCTGACGACAGGCGACATGAATAGTGAGAGCGGTGGCACGGAGAAACGCGAAAATGATGGATTCTACTGCATCTGCCAGGCCGGTTTCCAAGTAGGTTCGATGGGTCTGGATGAGTTTACGTGTTTTTTTTTGCTATTCATTTTGCGTGAAACTTGTGTCGAGAATAATCTCAGGTTGCTCTCGTCCAAGCATAATTCGTGAGCACCTGGAAAGTAATGCAACTGTACATGATTGAATCAGCGCTACTGGCATATCA